TGTTTTTTGCAAAAAAGCTTAGGAAAAAGGAGACATATTGAAAAGACTGCTATTATGTCCTTAACATGAGTAAAATGGATTACAGAGCAACAGAATGAGCCTAAGAGATACAAGACTTCATATTCTTAATGAATGTCCTCTCTACTGTTTCTCAAGTATTGCTTAAGAGGCAGAAAAGTTAAAGGGAAAAGAAAAATGTACACTCTGGAATGGCTTCCCAAAAGAAACAGGAGAGGGATATTATTAAATTCACTCTAAGAGCCTTTAGAAACATACTAGAAATATGAATAGGGCAGAGAGTTAATATAGTTTTGTTTGGAAGGCAGAAGAGAGCTATGAGGGAGAATCATAATAAAACCAAAGAGTTGTTTGTCACTGAGCCTGCCTTGGCAGGGAGGGTGGGATATAAATTAAGTGAATAAATAAATAATAAATAAAAGTTGTTGCCATCCTCAGTGCAAGAGCACTGCAATCCAATTCTGAAAAGTGCTAGGAAATGAACAAACTGTAACCTTCAGCTGTCTGATAATTTATAGAGCTGGGGATATACAATGAAAGGGGGGGGGGAGAGAAGGAATTATAGAATTTAGCTCCTGCTTCCAGAGTCGCCTACATGATGCAACATAATCAACTTTAGACTGTTTTGTTCTCTGATTCTTTAATTCCTAAGTCTACTGCACTGTTCCTTGGTTGTCTTACGCTGTCTGATTGCATCTGCCCTAAGTCTCAGCAAACATAAACAAAATAAACAACATTTTGCAACTAATTAAAACAGAACTACAAAACTAAACCTACGTAACAGACTTCAAATTCACTGGTCTTCTTAACACAGTATCCACCTTACCCTCAGAAGTACAGATTTTTTAAAATGGTCTTAATGAACATACAGAAGGTAAGGGCACCACTAGCCCTAAGTTCCACAATAAATAAAAAACTGGCAAAAAAGCCTTGTTCCCTCACCCCCACCGACCTGCCTTCAGTCAAAGAGGAAACTCTAAGCCAGGCTTCTTCTGAAGACCTTCGTATACATGGGAGAGTAGTTATTTTAAGACAAAAATGACCACAGATGAGATCATCTGCAAGCTGAAGAACGAACAAGTTCGGCTCTGGCCACAAGGCATCCACCCTGGTATCAGATCCAAAGCCAAGAGGAAATAAAGCATCCAGTGGCAGCTCCTAGACTCAGGGAACTTACGCATGTAGGGCTTGAATTTGCACCATTTCCTTCAAAGAAAACTTGTAGTCATTTTAAGCCAATGGCAAATCTATGCACAGCTTGATGCAACATAGACTGAAGAAACAAGTACTATGCAAACAGACTATATGCAAACTCCAGGAAGAACTGAAGGTTCATTGCTACTTAGGCTATCAAAGTTCATGGACAGTAAGAGCAACAAAACTATGGCCTAGCTGTTATGTATATCTTGCAAGAAAAAGCACATTACAAAGCACCATGCCTGAAACTGACTTGCAGAAAGGACAGACCTGTACATTTCTCTCACTAAAAAAGGAAGAGACCAACCTGCTGTCAAAATAAAGACTGGAATGGTCACCCACTCACTACTTTTCTCATGCCACAAAGGTAACTGATGGGCTTCCTCCAGTGCTTATTTGCTAGACTCCACGGCATAGGGTGTTAACCTTTATAAAGTCAGAGCTGAAGAGGGGAGGGACCATGAAAACAATAACCTTATCACCATAACAAAGAGAGGGTCTTCTAGGGCAGAGGTCAGGCAAAGAAGCACGAAAAGTGGAAGCTTCCCATCATGCCAGTCACTGTTATTACTACATCTGGACAGCAGACAGAAAGCAAAGTTTCACCCGCATCAGCAAGTATTTTGGAATGTTCGGGAAAAGGAAGTCTGCGTATTTTTATATTGGCTGTTCCAATATAATAATACAGACTCTGCCTTGTTTCAGCATCAGATAACTCCACCATCACTTCTATGGCACCATAAAGTAATGATCATGATAGTCTATGGGGGGGGGGGGTGGAAACACAAAAGCACCATACTGCCTTCCCCTGTGACTTAAAGAACAAACAGCACAAGGAAGGTTCCAAGATCCCCAGAACTCTTCATCAGGGTGGTTTATTAAAAAAGATGTAGAGAACAGGGGAGGAGAGAAAGGAAGAGAGTATGACAGAAAAACCCAAAGCAATTTGATATAGCCTAAAAATGGAGCGGAGGATGAGTTGCTAACCTGAGCTAGATGGCACTAGGTACAAACCAGATTTCAAGTTTCTACTGAGACAGACAAGCAAAACAAGACTGCTTTCTTTTAAAAATATGAATGCCAGCCATATTTGAACCTCTTTCAAATTCTGACCAGAACACACGGGTCCCTTTTAAGGTAAAAACAGAGCAATGCACTCTTCTTTTATCAGAAAAGCGGGAGACTGATTTCAGCGGGTGCACGACTGAGTAGTAGTTGGGAGCAAGTAACCTCCATAACCAGAGTCCCATTGCTAGGAAGTAATCATCCTAGTTGTTGTTGAGTCACACAGTTGAGTCTGACTCTTTACGACCCCATGGACCACATCACATCAGGCCCTCCTGTCCTCCATCGTCCTCTGGAGTTTGCTCAACTTCATGTTCGTTGCATCGATAACACTGTCTAACCATCTCATCCTTTACCGTCCCCTTCTTATCATCCTCGGTGTCCCACTGCTAAGCAATCATCTTCCCATTGCCAAAACCTTCTCTTTGCCAGCTCAATTCAGTAGTTCCCCATTAGAAAGATCGCAAATAGCCACTTGGAAGCTGCAGAACACCTTTTATTGACCAACCAAAACATCACATGTCCTAAAATCTCTTTTTTCTCCCCCACCCTCCCTTTTGGACTGAGCATCTAGCCTGATCTTCCCTTCTCCCAAGGAGCTCAGGATGGCACAAATAGTTCTCTCCTCTTCCATTTCACCCCCCCCCCCCAGGACTGCGAGAGAGGGAAGGCTGAGAAACCATGACTGGCCTAAAGTCATCAAGCAAGCTAAATGACTGAACAGGGAATTCAACTTGGGTCTCCCCAGATCTAATTCTATGCTTTAACCAGTATACCACACTGGTTCTCACTCTGCTGAAGATTTCTGGGGAACTCAATCACTATTTTGTAATAATTTGGTTTGTCATAGTAAAAGGTATTATGCTGATGATGTTTCTGGATATCTCACGGCATAATTTTTTCCACCTCATTCCTGTGTTACAGGCAGCAAGGAACTGGTTTTATAACCTGAGGTAAACCAAAGACCTAACTATAGTTCTTCTACTTAGGTGCCGCAACAGACACACATATACTTTGATGTCCTCTTTAAAAAAAGGTATGGTGAAAAGTGTTTAGGAACATGCTCTACAGGAGAGGAAACCATCCCATCACTTTCACCCTCTTTTTCAGTAAGAATGAACACACCAGAAAAATGTACAACGTTCCCTATTCAAAATTAAAATATGCTAACCCACCCCTCATATAAAGAGAGGCCTTGTTACAGGCTCAGCACTCTTCCAACACTCTCACTTAGCCTCTCTCGAAGCCAGCTCTGGAATCTCTGCGTTCTGCTCCTCCTGCTCTCTTTGCAACTCAACTGCAAAACAAGTCCCGTGGAACTGTTGCAGTGATCCTCATGAGGTCAAACATGTGGACCAAACTTCTCTTGCTCTGAGAGAGTGAAATAGGAACCACCCAATTTGGAAGAGTCACAGAGTACTTGCCAGACAAGACAGCTAACATTACTGTATATAACATCCTTCTCTTTATGTTGGTGTATTTGAGCTCCACTATTTGAAGCTATTACGGCTCCTGGGTTTTTAGTTTATATTTGTTATCCTGCCTACTGGATTGAGAAGGATCAGAAACATGCAAGTTAAAAAATAAAACATACCATATGAAACCTAAGGCAACCCAAAAGCTGAGAAACCTCAGCTCGACAGGTCATCTTACCCAGTAGGGCAGTGGTGGCGAACCTATGGCACGGGTGCCAGAGGTGGCACTCAGAGCCCTCTCTGTGGGCACATGTGCCATCGACCCAGCCAGGCCCAGACCATCATTAAAGTATCGAATTCTCTGCCAAATAATTTTAAGTAAGTGAAAGCATTTGGGATTGCTTTCCTTACTTTGTTTGGATCACCTTAAGTTAATGTATGAGTTGTTTTTTCTAAAGTAAAACCTCAGTATTCAGGTTAAATTGCCGTGTTGGCACTTTGCGATAAATAAGTGGGTTTTGGGTCACAGTTTGGGCACTCGGTCTCTAAAAGGTTCGCCATCACTGCAGTAGGGGAACAGCACAGATCTTCTTGTTTCCAGTCCTGCCTACTTCTCCAAGACACCAGTTTCGGAGGGGGGGGGGGAAGCCAGCAGAGGTCCAGGCCAGGGTAGCAGTGGGGATAAAAGACTGAAGAGAGCATATCAGTGTTGTGTACTAACAACAGATTTCTCCTCTACTGCAAAGATTCATGCCAGCATCCAATCCTGGAGAAGCTCGACATGTTACATGTTGTTATACCACGAAGCAGTACCACAGATGACAGAAATTGAGCCTACCTTCTATATGACTAAAGAACGTGAATGTGCTATTTGGTAGGCTAACAAGCCAGTGTATTAGGTATACTTCCACACTTAAACCAGAAAGACCCTCCCTACCAAAGTCTGGCACCCTCAAAAGCAGGAAATTTTTACGAAGTTCAAATTAAGAGATTCTTCCAAACGGCACTCCTACCGCCCTGACTGAATGCCAGAGATTCATACACAATACATTCAGAGCAACAGGCTGGGAGCCTTGAAAACCAAATTAACAAGTCAGCATTTGAATTCCAAATCTAACCGGGAGAGTTTGATTATCAGCAAATCTGAAGTGGCCTTGTCATTTCCAAAAATAAACGCCAACCTTATTTAGCTGGGCCTGTTAACGTCTGCACATTTCACACTGTGTCAAAAGATTAACACAAAGAGTTCCAAACAAATGTTTAAACAATGGGGGGGGGATGCTCAAAAACCTTCTTCATACTGACCTGTCCGTGATTGCTGACTGTGTGCCACTCATTGGAGCCCTTGGCAAGGAGACGATTTTTCAACCAATCTGCATCGTACAAGCGATTTCAATGTATGTCACTCGTCACTTTCCCATAGGCACACGCTCAAGTTCAGAATCCAACTTTACTCCAAAAAGAGGTTCAGAAGACAAACTCAGCTAAGAACAACAACGCCGACGTGGTGGTTCTCCGCAGCCTCCGAAAAGATCCATCTCAGGGAGAGCTTCCACTAACCCGCCAGGAGCTCCCTCTAGACGGAACCTTCCCCCCACAAGAAACAAGGGAGAAGGCCTTCGGAGACATGATTCTAAGCGCTGCCAAAAGATCTCGCTGCGGCCACTGGCTCTGAAGAAGGGAGGAAGGCAAACTCGGGCAGAAACGCTGGCGTCGGTAAACTGTCAGGCAGAGAGGGGCATCTGCTCCAAGTGAGTTCCGGATCCTCGTGTCCAGTCGCGACAACTTTCCTCAAGTCGCAAAGATGCCCCGCAGCGAGAAGGCAAACAGAGGGAACAGTTCTTCACCCTCCCCGGGGGGAAACAACTTTTCCTTTTGGGGGGGGGGGGTTGAGCCCTCTCCTTCCTCCCCGCCTCTGGGGGGGTGACAGGGCACCCTGCCCAATACCCTCTGGGGCCAAACACCCACTCGAGAACTGCCTAGTCACCCCCTCTGCCCCCACCCACCACCACCACGCAGCACCTGCCCAAGGCACAGAAATGACCCCTCCTGGGGACCCAGGGAGTGAGCCAGTGAGTTTTCTTCTGAGTTCAGCTGATGGCTACGATGACTGAGGATGCCCCAAAAGCCTGGGG